GTGAACATGATGACATCAATACAGAAAAATGTATATTAGCAGAATTTAAAGAAATAAGCCCTTTAGCTAACTCCATTTCAGTACTTATTTTCTGGATTATTTTCGATTTAACCAAGTCTATGGTTTTCCTAATTTTCCGGGCAAATATCAATTTTCTAGAACTCAAGAGAAGCCATTTCTCCATTTGGGGGATTAATTGTGTCGCTAACTTTGTTTTCAGTTCCCATAGTACTAATATAAGGATGGATAGATTCTATTTGCAATGATAATGAAAAGCCTAAGTGCTAATATTTGTGAACTCTAGACTTCAATAACATTGAGTGGAATGAAAAATACTCAGCATGGTAAGACACTTTCCCCAAGAGGAAACTAAAGCAAGCTACTGAACAGTGCTAAAATTTCTACTGGAATTAAAGAATGAGAAATATTAGCCGAAAGGCAGTTTTTGGCATAGCAATTAATAAGGCAGTAAGGACACATTGTTTTCAAGTAATTTTTTAAATCTAATATATTTTATAATTATACTTATTCCAGTTACTTTTGTGATCTTTCAGTTTTTTTGTCCATGTATCAAAGCACCTGTATTTTTTACATTCAGATGTCACATCTTCTGACATATAATTTTTAAGCGCATCTTCCAATATTCCAATAATATTACTTATTATTCCACGACTTTAGATGTATAAAGTACATAGAAGGCGTACATAGAATGTATCTAAATTTATCTAACCATGAACTATTAATATTTATTTTTGAGATTATGCTTTTATAGACTCCACCATACTTATCACACTGCATTTAAATAATGCCTTAGAAAATGCTTACAAAGGGGTTTGCTTAGGAACATATAAAATAAAGATTTTGAAAGGTTTTTTTTTTAAGTTTTTATTTTTAAAAGATTAAGCTCTTTGTAAAACACAAAGTCTCAGTGAAAGAACAGGGAACAAATTCCTACATCCTGAATATGGGTACATACAGGAATATCATAAAAGAAAATTGAGTGTGTCATCTTAGTATTGGCTTTATTATTAAAGACAAAAAATGGGAAAACTTTACACTTTAGGTCAATATTAGGTCCCTGAAGAATCTGCTGTTCTATATACTTAAAAGCTTCTGAAACAGAGCTATATATAAACAAACATAAAGCACACTGAATTAAGGTATGTTTCATTATGACTTGATTTTAAGATGGTATATTTGACTATTACCATACAATGTCTATAAAGCCATTATAATAGTTTATCATCACTGACATTACTTGCTTAGGATGTTAATTTCAATTAATGCTGAAAACAATGTCACTATTTGAGTTAAGAGAATTATTTGGCTGTATGGTTAATCAAGGTATAGCATCAATAAAATTATACTGTTTATTGAAAAGCAAAAATTTTAGTTTTCACTCAGTGTCTGAGAGAACTTATAGTGAGCTTACATTTAAGGAATTCATTTATTCAAAACTGAACACTTTATACAAGCTATTATTGCTTCAAGGGAATACAAATTCTCTAACATAATATACACTGAAGTTGATTTTAAAGAGCATTTTCTTAACACACTAAAATACACATGGGCATTTATGTGCATTATGAGCATTTCTACTGCAACACTTGATAGTAAATTACTTGACAACCAAGAATTCAGAAAAATGGCATATTAATAATGTACGTTAAAAATCAAAATGACAAGACAAGGGCAGGATACATTAAAAAAAAACTGGTTATTAAGTGCTTTTTTCCGGCAGTTTGGTGTTCAATCACAGAGTGCGCTTTCTGTAAACAATAAACAGACAAGATCAACAAGTTTCCTTTAATTTTATTCCTTACCTTTATGAAATCAAAACAAAGTCAATTGTTTTGATTTAAAAAGCAAAAGTACAGTGATTTCTATTACAGTAATGATCTACATAAAAGGTAAAAAAAATTACCCTTTTTAGCCTTGGGGAGAAATATGCAAACAAGCAAAAATGTGGCATTACCTAACACACTGAATGTTTATTGCTTTCTCAGTGTTTCAAATCACCTAAGGATTAAAACAAGAGGCATGTGAAACTGCAGTGTACAGACAGACATATACCAAATTCCTAGAGAATACTTTTGTATGGAATAAAGTGCTAGAAATGATAAGAAACTATTAAAAACACAGGTCCATTTTGAGAAGGGAGGTTAACACCTGTGTTATACATATGCAGTATCTATACATATTTAAAAGGTGGAACTTTTACTAAACTTTATTGTTATTCTAGTTTTAATGTCTTTGCAATGGACATGTGTTGAACACACATAATCTGGAACCTCAGTACTTTCAAAAACACTTCCAGCTCAATATTCTAATGTATGTGCACGCTATGTGGGTGTGTATGAGAGAGTGTTGAGTGTGAGAGAGAATCCCCAAGGACACTTGTTTCACATCCCCAAGGACATTTGTTTCACATCATTCACTCTCACAGGTATCATCTTAAGCCATATAACTAGTGGAACATTAAAAAGCAACTATTTAAAAATAACGTCTGATTTTTCAGGACATATAATTTATTGTAAAAATAAAAATTCAAGTCTGTAGAAGATAAAAGGAGTAAACAGAAAAGCATGGGGAGGGGGGTAAGGGCCAGTTTTATTCTTGTAATGTAAAACTAACATCTAATTAACCTTACAAGCACTTATTTCTCTCAGTGCCTTGGGGTGAAATGGGTTGTTTGTTCACCTTAAAAGAAAATATAAAGCTTGCAAAAAGAGGACTCAAAAAAATAGTAAGGACCCCCCTCTTGACATATTTCTCTGCTTTCAAAGCACAATCCTAACTCCAAATTTTTTTTGGTGATTGCTTCCCCTCAAAATATTTTGACAACCTCAAAACTCAGTGAAAAATTATCTATATAGCATGAATTTATTTATATAACTGTTAAAGGTATGGACTTAGAAAAAAGCTGGAAATACGCATGCAATGCCCTTACTGATTGACAATGAAGACAGGGTAATAGCATTTTGGCTACACCATCTAGCTCAACTGCGATCAATTAAGAGATTCAAGCAGAACATGCAGGTCCTCCAAAAGCTTATTTTAGGTGAGTCTATCAACTAAAACAGTAAAATAGCTTGTTAGGCAGCACATAAAAGCACTTCGTATATTACAAAACATGTATTTTTCTCCATAACTGTAATTTCTCGCCCCCCATCTCCACTTTACTTTTTATACCTATGAATGAAGGGGGTAAAAGCTTTATTCTTACACCAAATTTTAGGCGGCGGGGCCATTTTGGTAATGATTAGGAATATAATTAAAATTTCCCCCTTAAATCTTAACCTAATAAAATCTTACAGTACTCCACCATTATAAAAGTTATAATTTTGGCATATTATTACCAGTTTTTTGACACTTCATGGTGATAAAGCACTCAAGTTACTTTTAAAAAGTTGAAATACAGTTAACAATCCGTTATTAAACACCAGCTTAAAGAATGAATCTGACGTAAAGAATATCCGTGATTGGAAAAAAATGATTTTCTGTTTGCAAAATTTTGAACACAATGGAAGAATATTTTACTTGGCGTTTAAACGCAGATGGTTAACTGTCTACAATTTATATTTAGATAAAAGAATTAATGAAACAAAATATTTCCAAGTTTTATTAGTTGAAACTTAAAAGCACTGCAGATCAGAAGATCTTAGAGAAATGCAATTTGTCAGAAGCCCCAACAGCCTCCTCTGTCAAAAAAGGAGTAACATGAAGACGATGAATCAAGTTCCGAGAAAAGCAGCCACACACTGAATTTGAATTTCCAAATTCAATCGGGGAAAAGGGATCCTGACTTACATTTCATAGAATTATCGCCCGCTTAGCTACACCCAATATTTTCACTGTAAAAACACAAGCTATAGCGTTCACCTGCACCTGCACAGGACACTTGGCTACTTCTTTCAAATCCACGCCGGCGACTGGATCAACATACTCCACCGCCTAAAGATTCTCAAAGTATTTTGTAGGACAAAGGAGACGACGATATTTTTTGAACTTCAGAATTCCGCAAAATATGACAATTGTTACTTTGCAGACGCAGTTTATAGGCTGTGCTCGGCTCGGTCCCTGCACTCCAGCCCACGTCCCTCCGTTTTAAGAGATTCAGGCTGACAGAAGATAGTTCGCTCAGTAATTCAGATTCCCTTTGCCTGGGCCATGAATGGCTTAAGAGTCAACCCCAAAAGATGGGGAAGAGACCAAGACGCAAGCAAGGTTAAAAAAAAAGGGGGGGGGCTGGGGTGATATTCACCCCCAACTCTTTCAATCTCACCCAAAGATACTAAGATCGGAAAGGTAGCAAAATTTTTATAAAAGAACACCACGAGAAAGCAAGTGAGGCTTACTTGCTCTCCACATTCCCGGGCCCAATTCTTTACCGAAGATCCTGGCCCACCCCACCCCCAGGGGTCCCGGCGCCATTTAGCTCCTCCGAAGCCGCCGCCATTTTCCGCCCCCGCCGTTTTGCCGCTGTTCCTCGGCGGCCACTCGCTACCCAGTTCTGCAGCCCGAGCCACCGCCGCAGGCCCGGCCCCGAGAGGGAGGCCCTGGTCTGAGCGTGTGAGTACGGCAGCTCCAGCGTCACGAAGCCCGGCTCCGACCCCGCCCGCGGTGCCCGGGAACCGACAGCTTGCGAAGGCCGGCGAGACCAAGCGGGCAGCAAGGGGGCCGGTCAGGCTCCACTGGGCGGAGCGGCCTGGCGGCGGTTGGGACCTGAAGGTTCCATCGCACTTACTTCCTGTTTTGGGTCCGGGCACTTTGGAAGAACCAGGATGGAGGCTCCAAAAAATACCAGGATGGAGGAAGCAGCCACGGGCAAGAGTGGCTGCAGCTGGAGTGAGCGAGCGCGACGAGCCACCGGAAACGGAGCTGTGGCCGCGCCCCGCCTCCAGCCCCCGCACGCTCCCTCTCCCTCCCTCCTCCCGCCTTGGGGCGGCCCCGCGCGCCCGCTATGGCGTCACTTCCGGCTACTACGAAGCGTGAAAAAAGGTCCCGGGTTATTCCGTAGTTCCCTGCGCCGCGGTGTTGTAGTGGAGTAACGCCTTCATAGGAATTTGTGTCGTCTCTCCGCTGCTGAATTTTATAAAGGAGGCCCTTCTTGCTCTGGAGCAATGGTGGTCCTGGCTTTGTGGTCAGCTGGGGCCAGTTGACAGTGTTCAGTTTGCTGGACCGCGGCGAAGGGAGTTGCGATGTGAAAGCAGGGAGTTGTGAGTCTTACTTCACATTTGGTTTGCTTTGAGGTATACCCTTAAACTGAGATGTTGTTATTGGGCCCGTGTTGCAATTCTGGTGAAAGGTATCCCCTTCGAATGTAGGACGATGCTTCTTCGCTGTGCTAATGCATGGGTTTTCTAGGTAGGTTGCTTTGAAATTACTTGGTGACTTTAGATGAATAGTAGGGCCGCGTCCCCAGACGACTGTTGCAGAATCTTCACAAAGACCCTGTGGAGATATCTTTGTTTTTGAAGAGTTCCAAGACCTTGAGATTTGGAAGACGGAGTCGTCTGATTCCACTGTTATTTTACCTGTTTATAAAACTAGATAGGTAGTACTCTTTCTCTACTGGAATGGTAAGTTTTAAGGTTACACTTAGTTAATATTCACGTTACCAATAACAAGGAGACTCAATATTGTGACAGTGGGAATGTGGTCAAGTTAGTTGTGAAGGTCAGTTAAAGGCTATCAGAAAGTAACTCCCGATGGGTGAAGGCTTGTTAAGTCTAATGGAGAGCCCAAAAAAATATAAAAATAACATATGATCCAGCAATACAACTGCTACTTACTTACCTAAAGAATGCAAAAACATTTATACTAAAAACTTTCTGCACTCTTGTGTTCATAAGCAGCATTACTCACAATCACCCAAGACTTGCACCTCACCTAAATGCCCACTGACAAATGACTGGATAAAGAAATCATAGACTATATACTAAATGGGATACTGTTAAGTAGTTAAAGACGAAATAGTGTGTTTCTGGGGGAAAACATGAATGGATCTTGAGGAAATGATGCTAGGTATAATTGTGTGTGTGTGTGAATATAAGTAACAAAACAAAATGGCAAAGTGTAACAAAAATAACTGGTACACTCTGAAAACTAGAGCATTACCAGAGGGGATAGGACTGGGGAAAGGAGGTAAAGCGATTGGGTATCAACACTGTCTTTGGTGGAGGGTGAGTGAAGCATAGGGAAGTGTGAAGTTGTATTTAACATGGGTTATATAAAGGTTTTGAAAATCAAAATTTGAGAAAAAAATACTCATACTTAAGTTCACCACTATTACAAAAATAATTGAAAGCATTATTGAAGGTCAGGACAAGAGAAGAGAATGAATGAAATGGACACATCTTTTTAGCTGTTTGAAAACAGACCTATTCATGACATGGGTGCTTTTAATATTTACTACAATATCTGCATACAGGTTTTTGCGTAGACTAGTTTTGAACTCATTTGGGGAAGTACCAAAGAGTGCTTGCTGGATACGTTAAGAATGTTTAGTTTTGTAGTAAACTGCTTATCTTTCAAAGTAGATAAATCATTTTGCATCCCACTAGTAGTGAGAGTTCCTGTTCTACATTCTCAGTTTAGTAGCATCTCTCTCCCTGTGCCTGAGATGGTGGCATTGATGTATGTGAGTCATTTTTTTTACTCGAAGTGGTGCTTCCAGATGGAGATTTTTCTTCAGTGCTCATGTTAAATAATATTAAATTTGGCAAGTTGAAACAGAACATGCATCTTAAATTGGTTTTAAGTAACCCATAAGGTTAAGAATTCAGGATTTCCTTTTATGTTAGCAGTTTCAGTTCTATGTAAGGCTGGTTTCTTAATACAAAATGTAGTTGAAAGACTGAAATTGACCTTTAATCATCAGTGAAACATGGAGTGAGGAACAGCAAATAACACACTCTAAAGGATTCAGAAAGACATAGTTGTTCGTATTTTATGCCAAATGCTGTTATTTGGGCTGTCTTGTAAATGTTGTATTTCTCCATGAGCATATGTAAAACAACAGTAGAGATACTATTACACTTGTTAAAATGGCTAAAATCTGAAACACAACATCAAATACTGATGAGAATGTAGAACAGGAACTCTCATTACTAGTGGGATACAAAATGGTACACCTACTTTGAAAGATAAGCAGTTTATTGCAAAACCAAACCTTCTTTCCATATACAGCAATTGCTCTTTGGTATCTCCCCAAATGAGTTGAAAACCGTGTCTATGCAAAAACCTGTTTACAATTGCTTTTGGTAAGTTTATTCATAATTGCCAAAACTTGGAAGCAATTGCAATGTCTTTCAGTAGGTGAATGGATAAACTGGTATATAATAGTATGTTAGCCAGCACTAAAAAGAAAACAGCTATTAAGTCATGAAAAGACATGGAGAAGCCTTAAGTTATCAAATGAAATAGGTAGATATGTAAAAGATATATGCTTTATGATTACAACTATATGACATTTTGGAAAGGGCAAAACTGTTGATAGTAAACAGATTAGTAGTTGTCAGGATATGGGGCAGGAGGAGAAGGTAAAGCTCTTTACCTTTCAGGAAGTACCTCTTCTGTAGAACACTAACAGTAGCCACATGCTATTAGATGTTTATCAAACCCCATGAAATATACAACATGAGTGAACACTGAAATAAACTACAGACTTTGGGTGATAATATTGTCAGTGGTTCATTAATGGGAATCAGGGAGATGCTGGTAGTAGACATGCTATGCCTCTGGGGAGCTGAGGACATATAGGAAATTGCTGCCTTCTTTTAAATTTTGCTATGAATCTTAAACTTCACTAAAAAATAAAATCTAAAGCTACTTAAAAAAGAAAGCATAAAAGGGCCAAATATTAGTCTTTGAATTTGGACAATGTGAGCAGAAAGTTTTGGGGAGTGCTTTGGGTCAAATACTTTGCAAATGCATCAGTGCATTTATTACAAATGAATCCCATTAAGGTAAAGCAAAATGAAGGTATGTGTCCAAGGGTGCACAGCAAATAGACTATCTCCTACAAAAATGTGGGAGAGTCAGAATGGAAATATTTTCTCCATAGCCTATGCTCCAAACTACCTCTTTTGGAAAGGTAGAACTATTGCAGTTCACAAAATCTACTCTGACAACCAGATTCTTTATAGAACTCAAAGATAGATGTTTGATACTTTCAAAATTAATGCCAGACACAGCATTTTATTGCATCTGACATTATCACTGTGGTGCTTTGTAACCTGTAATGGTGGCTGTAATATACCATAAAATATTTAAATTACTACATAAGTATTATGTAAGCAAATCCACAAGGCAGGATAGTATTGTAGTATAGACACTGAAGTCTGGCCTGACTGTGAGTGTTGGCTTTGTTACTTGGAAGTAGGTATGGTACTTCACCTCATTAAACTTCATTTGCCTAAGAAAAATGGGGCTATAAAATTTACCTGTCAGAATAATGTGACATGCTTTGCCTTGAGCCTGGCATTTATAATAAGCACTTAAAAAATGGAAACTAATAAACCCCTGAACCAGAAAAGCAATTAAACTACTTAAAGAGCAGTTGTAATGAAATAATAATTACATACATAAAATTGTTAACATTTATGAGAGGTAGTTCCTAATTAGCCACATTTTTCATAAAATATAACCATATAGGATTCTTTTCACTGAGACATAAGGTAGTGATGGCTAAATTATAGTCTGGTTGCTTATTCTGCAATAACGTATATCAGCTTATATTGTGCTGTTAATTCTCTTAAAAAGTCAAGTACAGCTTCATAATTAATTCTCCTTTTTTAGGTGTGTTTGACAATTATCTTTTCCAAGTTCAGTTGGTATTATTTGGGAAAAGCAAATGTATTTGAATACTTAAATTTAAATGTAAATCTGTTTAAATAGCATCTATGCATATAGGTAAAATTAAAACTTTGATAATCAAAATGAGATTATCATTGACAATTTGAATCCTAGGGTAATTTTCTAAAATTACCTTCCTAAGTTATTCTTATTCATTACTTAGTCAATGTACCTAGAAAAATATGTGAAGTTTACTATTAGCCTAGAATTTACCTAATTATGAATTAAATATTTTGTAAAAAATCATAAAAAATGTTTCTATACCAAATTGAATTTATCGAAGTATATATACCAAAATCATGATGCTGCTGCATTTGCTAGTTATGATTAACTTTGTTGGACTCCAGATTTTTTATAACACTTTGATGAACCTCATCAGTGATTAGCTGTTGATAATTGTCCTTTCATCAAAGGGTGATACATTAATATAAAAATATTTCAAATACTGAGAAGCGGGTTCTGTTTTCATGATTGTCTTTTGTCTGAATGATATGATTCAGAAAAGATGCACTTGCAGAGACTTCTGTTCTAAGTAAATGAAAAATTTAATTACTGAGTAGTGTATAATCCTTCTACACAGTCTCTGAGTTCTCTTAATAGATCTGATGAGTATATTTGAGAGACTTTCAATAACTTTTGGAGCACTAATGGGGACTCCTATGCTAACAGAAGAATGAATAAACTGTCCCTAGTTCAGCCCATGTACCTTACTCTTTCTCCTTGTCTTCTATCTCAGAATCCTACTCTATAGACTTTCTTGCGGGGCTTATGACAATCCATCTTACAGTCCTTACCATGTCCTCCTCCATTTTGTGTCATTGTCTTGTTGTCATACTTCTCTTAATCCCTCAATTTGGTGACCACTTCTCCATACCCTCTTTACTTCCTTTTGCAGTAGCTCTTCACCGAGACCTCTGAGGATAGTAGCAAAGGAACTGTAACAAAAATAGGTTCTTCTTCCAATTAGTTAATACTTAAGATATTCTCAGTGAGTAAGGATAAAAGTTTCCATTTTGCCCTTGAAATTCTTGGTAAGCAAAGTAAATGGTTATTATACAAAAATACTAAGAAGGATATCAGTTGGGTGCTCTGAAAGTGCTGTACATAGAGTTCAGAGCGGGAATTTCTGAGAAGACATTTGAGTAGAGAATAGGAAGGTATGAAGACATCACCACAGTCAGGAGTCGTAGAGGGGAATTTGCTCTGCTGTTGTGGGAAGAAGTGTATTTGTATAAAGCAGCTGGCCTATATAATGTGTAAAATGGTGAGCACATACCACTGGGTAGTGGTAGATTCAGTCTCTTGTAGATGTTAATTGTGTTTGCTTTTTATTTTATTTCTTATTGTGATAATGGTTTACATTATTGTTGGTATTTTGGAAGTATAGAATTCCCCCTCACCTCTCATCCTCCCAATCAGGTATCTTCATAGTGTACCTACCCTCAAATCACCCATAATCTATTGTGCTCCCTTCCCTCTTTCCTTCCTCATTTGCTGAGAGTTTCTGAAGTGTTAGCTGACCTCCCCCCTCTGATGCTTCAGTTCTATAGTCAGCTCTCAAGGACTACTTGTTAAGCTTGTCTTTATCTGACCCCTGCTTTGGTTTTTCTATATTCCACATATAAATTATTCCATCTAATATTTTTCTTTCTCCTTTTGACTTATTTCACTTAGCATTATCCATTCCAGATCCATCCATGCACTTCCGTGTTTATTGTAATGCACTATTTACAATAGCCAAATTATTGGAAACAACTTAAACAGATTAATGGATCAATTAGATGTGTTATATGCACACAATGGAATACTACTCAGTGATGAAAAGTTAACTGCATTCAACTCCTCTTCCACCAAGACTAGAACTTGGCCCATTATCAGAGATGGCTGAACCATCTGCCACCTCTACCTTGTCTCAGTTTCAGCTTCAGCTTTCCAGCATACAGCACAGTACCTAACTTAATAGACATATATTTTATTGGGATCAAGGATAAGAGGCTTCATAAATCTGAAGATCAGGAAGCGAGCTATTTTTATTCCTTGATAATAGTTACTAAAGACAGGAGAGTTCAGTCATTTTTCAGGTGGTGTCAATACTTGGGCAACTCTGGAATAAAACAAATGTTACCTTTCATTATTACTCTAGTAGAAGAAGGTAATTTCAACACAATGACATATGTTCTGTGTTACTTTATTGCCCAAATCTTGTCCATCTAGCTGTGATATTTTAAAGATAGAAACATTAGATTTTAACCAGTAGATGTCCCTATTGTTCAGCAAGATTTTTTTTTTCTTTCAAAGTAATAACTTTAATATTGGATGGGAATTTTGTGTGGTTTGAATTTGATAGTGACACACGATGGCTGACTAAGAACAAGTTTTAACCATAATAAAATCAGGATGTGCTTTGAAATCCAAATATTAAAGGCTGGTAAGCACTTAAAGATTTGACATTAATTAGTCTCTTCCTCTTATTCACTGTATCAATACATTATATATCCTTGCACAGACAATGTAGTGACTGAGAAAGAAACAAGGGACTTGTGTAATCTTCAGAACTTTTAGAAATTTTTACATCCTTACATTCACTTCATTTTGCAGACCTTTTTGTACACAGAATTTGTGCTAAGCACAATTTCAGGCACAGGGAATTTGGTAGAGATCAAGAGAGACAAGACTTTTCCATCAAGAAACATTCTGGTGAAGGGGATCATGTCATAATAGTTTTTTCAACACATCTGTGTAAAACTCTTGGTTAGAGTGCCTAAATTGTTTAAACTGTTTATTAACTTGCTCATGATTAACAGTGCACGTAGGAATTAAAATAAAACAAATCAGTTTGTCTCATCAGATTAATCTAAATTGGTCTTGCTTAGTCAAAGCACTTTGAACACTCTTGAATAACCACTTAAAATATATATTATTATTATTATTATTTTTTGCCTGTCTTAACAATAAAGAATGAAAGCAGGAAAAGAGAATGTCTTATTTTAGTGAGATGTGATAGGGCCATAATTCTATTTCATGAACAGGAATGTGATATAATTTTTTTACTGTATAAAGATATCAAAATAACAATATCTAGCAGATAGTCTATTTCTAGATATCTTTAAAAGTTCATTTTAAACTTCAAATGACAATCTCTTGTTGATGGGGATGGAAAGAGAGTACAGTTTTTTAATTCCTTGAAAATAGCTTGTTTTCATATTCATTTTAAGTTCTAGAGACAGAGATACATCTTCTGAGGAATCCTCTGTTACTGGAATTCATTGGAAACCTATAATATATGCTCTTTAGTGTAATGCACACATGCATTTACTGTAATGCACACATGTAAGTTAGATGCCTTTCTTGACCTGAAATTCTTAGAATTAAAATGTAAGTTTAGGAACTCCTGGGTGGCTCAGGGTTAAATCCCCAGCACAATAAAGCCATGGCCAGCTACTTCACATGGTATCTGTTCCTGTTCAGGGACTTAACCTTACCTGTGGCTCAGCAGACCTCTTCTGTCTTGTCTGCTATCAACTCAACTGTGTATTTCAGTAGATCCTCCTGTTCTGCTCCCTACTCTATCCGTGGTGAATCTTCTCACCGCCCCCGTACCTCTGGCCTACAACCCTGTTTTTGTATGCATAAATACATAAAAATAAATTATGATAAAATAAAATGGAAGTTCAACAGAAAATACTATTTATTAAGCAAATTACCTGAAATATCAACTGAATCTTTTATTATAAACTTAGTTAACGAATATCTACATTGTATTAAATACAAATTAAATTTCAGCTCATAATACCTTTGTTATAATGACTATCTTAAGTGGATAGACAGGGTAAAGACAGGTGAGATGTTATTTTAGAAAAAGGGGAAAAGGAATTAGGAAAGCAGAGTTTCTATGGACTATCTGTAGACTTGAGAGTAAGACTACTACATATAATCATTTTATTGTACCACTGTAACAGTATTGATATTAGCATACTGCAGGTAAGGAAAATATATGCCTCTTACAGTCACAGTATAACTAAAATCTTTCCTGTTTTCATATTCTTATCAGAAGTTTACATTTATGCTGAAGTTTTGTCTGTTGAATCAGTCTGGAGTTCCAAGACATAAGGGTATTAACTGAGGGTGAAACTCCTTTTTCTTTTTCCATTATAATTAGATAAAATCTATTTTTGAATAGAAGCCCATTTTCACATGATGCTAGTCTTTTCTTTTGCCAAAAAGCCATCTGCTATGGAATCATTCTCTGTTGAGAACTCTTTATCTTGAGCCTGTAATAAATATTCACAAGAACCTCCTCTGAGAAAGAACCCATGCTGCTTTATCATTGCAGACCAGTTTCAGGAAAGATATATGATACAACAATGTTTCGTGCATCAAGTTATAAATAACTATGTTATTTGAAAAGGTCATAGTAAATATAGTACTCTATAAACAATCTTGTCTTTTGCAATGGTTAAAAATAAAAATAAACTTGAAGCCTTTACTTTTAGGTCTTCTCTTTTCCTTTCTAACACAACTACATTTTGAGCAATAACTGGAATGAAGGACTTAGATATTGGATTTCCCTAGGATATGTGGCTTATACCTGATGGTGGAATGTAACAAGGTACCAATTCTTTCTGTATTTCCATTTCCTTTCCCTTATTCATTTGGAAGTAGAATTAAATGTTTTGTTTTTATTGAAATTTGCATACAAAGCAAAATGGTTGATTTCATTTTTTTTAATTGTTTAGGCAATGATGAAATTCAATCCCAGTGAAATCTTAAAGGTCATAGATCATATAAGATTGTAAGGAGCTTATCTATCATTGCTTGGTGATGAGCTTTTAGAGTGCTCATCATGACCATTTGTTTTTTCTCTTAGCAAATGACCTTTCCAGAGACTTTTAAGCAGAAACTCTATCAGTAGCCTAAACCTACTATTATGTGCTTATCTTAAAATCCTTTCCTCTAGTCCTAAAGCTGTCCCTTCTCTCATTCAAGCTAACCCCTTCTTTTTATCTCATCTCTTAGAGCTATGCTTTACTCCTTAATCTGTGCATTCAATTAGAGGTTTCAGCCTCTAATGTCAATAGAAATCATTAATTTCATCCACATTGCTAAATCTAATGAATGATATTAAGATTTTATTTTAATTTTTAGAATAATTCACTCCAATGAGCACTTCTTGTTTCTTTGAATGCACTCCCAAGCCTCTTACCTTATGATAAATTACTCTAGAATTCCACCTACCTCTAAATATTTTAGCTAGCCTAGCATTTAAATTTCAGAGTTCTTAGTAGTGACCTACTAGGCTTATACTGCTTTTTCATTTTGTCTTTCTAAGAGCTATCATCCACTCAGATGGCTTTATTTGACTTAAATTTATAACTCTACCAGTCTACTCTTCATATGCCATATTGGATGTGGCACTTGCCTTATATGTGGGAGACTTACCCTGAGGAATACTATGTTTTCCAAAATAGGTTCATGGCATTTTCCATCTAGCATGTTTGTCAAGCAGTGTAACTTTGACACTCCCATCAATATGAGAGCAGTGGAGTAATATGACTCCTGCCTTTGAAACTAGACAATTTTCATGGCTTCTTTAATCAATTAAGTATATAAGAAGTAGTGCTGGACCCTCCTTGGTGGCATAGCGGGCTAATGTGCAGCACTGCAAGCTAGCTGCAGCTCCTTCAGTGTGAGTTCAATCCCTGGCCCAAAGGTGATCCACATAGTGTAGCAGACCCCTCCTGTCTTGTCCACTGCTTAGCAGTAAATTTATATTAGTCAATCTGCCTGTTCTACTCCCCACTCTGTCTGGTGAATCCTCTCACCAACCCTGCACCTCTGGCCTGTACCCCAGTTCTGATACATACATACATAAATCTTTGAAATCTTCAGAACTTTGTGAGTTCTGAAGAAGGTCAAAAAAATTCGATTAGACACTAAGTAAGCACCTGCCATTTAAGTTTAGATGCTATACTGGAGGAATCCCAAAGGAACCCAGTCAGAAAAACCACATAGACCCTAAAGCCATATGAAAAAGAAGTTTGACTGGAAAGCCCTCAGCTGTTCTAGTCTACCTTCTGTATTATTCACCTGTTGTTGTATAATAAATAACCCCAATGTTATGTTTTAAAAAGCAAACACTTATGGGCCCTCCCTGGTGGCGCTGCGGGTTAAAGCACAACACTAAGAAGCTAAAGCTACTTCAGCATGAGTTTGCTACCTGCCCCAGTGATGATCCACATGGCCCGGCAGACCTCTCCTGACCCGCCCGCTTCTCCCTTCAGCAGAGTACTTCCTTAGTAGGCCTGATCTGCTCCCCACTCTGTCTCTGGTGAATTCCCTCGCTGCCCCTGCACCTCTGGCCTGTATCCCAGTTTTGTATGACTAATAAATAAATCTTAAAAAAAGAAAAAAGCAAATACTTATGATAGTTTCCATGAGTCAAGAATTCAGGTTAGGTGGTGATTTGCATAGGGTACTCTCACAAGGTTGCATCCAGAGCTGCAGTAATGTGAGAGCTTGACTAAGGCCAGTAGAACTAGTTCCAAGATGGCACTCACATAGCTGTTGGCAAAATGTGAGACATTAATAAAAATTACCTAATTAATAAAATTAATAAAAATTAATGTCAGTAATTAGTGTTGCAGAGGTTTCCTGAATGCCTGACTGAAAAACTGAAGTACCCACCAAAAACTCAGTTAGGACAGAGTGAAGCTCTGAATTTCCTATTTGATGAGAGTTTGAACTATTGTTCTACAATTTGCATATGAGGGTCAGAACTAACTTGTTCAATAGGGCATTTCTTCTAAGAGAACCTTCTTATCTGGTTAATGTTGAAAGATCATTTTCTATAAAAAAATGATACATGCAGGCCACAGGGCTTCTTGCTCTGTGTGTATTTGGTTCTAAATAGACTTTCTCCATGAGCATTTCTGCTGGGTATGAGGGTGATTTCAGCAATGAATTGTTTCATAACCAGGCACGTTATAGTCTGTCATAAGTACACATTGGTCCATCTGTTTGTTTCCATTACCACAATTTGCAGTCCATTTGGATCTTTGGAAAGACAGAAATGGTAAGTTTGTCCTGTTTACTGATATATTGGTGTCAGTACATAAAATGCAGTTGAGAAGAAATTTAGGTGAAATTTTTATAATCTGTGATGGTTACATTTAGCCTACATTTCAGTTAAGGAAGTGATTTATGCTTCATATCTGTTTCCATAGCCAAAGCTAACACTATACTAAACCTAGCTAAAAGCTTTGTCAACTTGCTAACTTTATAGTTGCTAAAATTAGCAAAATTAGGAATTGTACAGTTTTTTCCCCAAAAATCATGTCTCTTTCAACTATGCTTAGTGCTCTTAGCACTCTTATTTGCTCAAAACGTGTGAATTTTAAGAGGAGCTGTGATGGTACTCACTTATCTAGTCTCCTATCATGAAGTCAATATTCAGCTTCAAAATCTAGTACATTTGAAAATCTCTGTAGTCTTCTGCATGTCCACAGGATTTTACACTATCATGACTTTTTCTTCTTACATCGAGGCATATACTCTGTTTTACCTTGCTGAAGGTAAGAGAATCAAGTCTCTTCAGTTTCTATGGGACTGTTCATTCCAAGAATTTAATGCCTTATAGAAAAGTGAAAGGTTTCAGGGTAGTTGAAAAGTTGAGTGCCATAGTGACAATTGCATTTGTTTTTAACCTTCTATGCAACCAGGTATAGATGTGTGACTATAATTCTGGCCAACACCTTATAACAGAATTGACATGTTCGACTTTTAGGGGGTTTTTCCCATAAAGGAGTATGGTTGCCTTCTCGCTTTACCCTCTTCCTTCTGTCTGGAATGTGGATATGGTGCTTATGAGTCATTTTGGGGTACATAGATAAAGGTGACAAGAAATGGTAGAGCAACAAAGAGGACTGACATAATGGAGAACCCATAGATGTCCTTACCTGATTATACCCTGACTGTGACATGAGAGAGGGGTAAATTTTCTCCTCTTCATTCATAGATAGCCTAATTCGTACAGGACTATTCTGACTTTTACCTTTCACACAAACACATTTCTGAAGCACTTACTGTGTCCTTTCTGAAAGGAACCCTCTGAACCAAGTTTTCTCCTTTTTAAAATATATGTGAAGCGGGGACTTCCGGAAGATGGCGGCAGAGTAAAGACGCCGAGATC